TGGGAGGCTCACTGTGGGAGGCACAAAGGCATAAGCAGGCTCAGTACCCCGGTTGGTCAGAGGGGCTGTACGTATTTAGGACATCTCACCAGGGAAAGAAAACAAATAAACTCTTGAAGAAACTCCTTAGGTATCTGTTTATCTTGACTCCACATTGATTGCAAACGGAAACTTGCAAGTGCCTATTTTTCTTTATAATATGGAAACAAACACATTTCTCTCACCCTTTAAAATTTAATCATGCATGCATTCTTAGGTGTTGCATGTTTTGAGCTGCTATTAAAAATGCATGTATCTGCCACATTAAAGAGGGAACAGAAGCTTGTGTGTTGTATTATTAATTATATGCAGGAAATGAAATTCTGGTTAGTATTTGCAGAAGGTACACACACACACACACACACACACACACACACACACACACAAGCTCTGCCAGGTGAGTGGCAACCATGGGGTTCATGTCCGCTGCTCTGACCCGGTGCACTTACTCTTGAGGTCCAAGTTCCTGGCTCCGGCGGTGATCTGCGTTGTGATTTTCGTGTCAATCTTTACAGTGTGGAGATTGCTGGTGTCCCTTGATATCATCACGTTGTGCCACTGATTGTCATTGAGAGGTTTATTTGAACTCCCTTTGATGAGGTTAGCACCATTTCCCAAGTCAAACACGTAATGTAAGTACCTGGGGGGAGAAAGGACAGTGGGAAAATGCCATCACTTTTTGAACTTTTTTATGGAGTCAAACTCTATACTACAAGAGGAGAATTTTTCTTTCAGGTGCCTCTGTCCTTCCTAGAAGTCATGTGAGTGACTTGTATAAAAACTCACCTAATGAGAAGGAAACACTATTCTGCTACAGTAAGGCAGATTCTTTATTGTCTTCACTATAAAGAATAATGAAAAAAATATATATATTTTAAATTAGGGTCTATACCAGGGTTGGGGAAGCTTTTATTTTGGCCAAGGGCCATTTGGATATTTATAGCCTCACTCATGGGCCATACAAAATTATCAAGTTAAAAATTAGCCTGCTGTATTTGGTCAAACATTGAATTGCCTCACCCCTAATGCCTTGGCAGGGCCAGAACAAATGATTTTGGAAAGTATATATCATTCCCTCTTTCACCCCTCCCTCAAGCCTTGGCTAACCACAATGAACTGGTAATTCTTCTCAGCTTCTTGAAATGTGGACTCATCCTTCAAGTCTCAGCTCTACTATTCACTCCCTGCCTCATACGTTTCATATTTTCCCTAAACACTAAGCCTTTGCGCATGATCATCTTAGAAAAATTTTCACAGTGCTCCTTTTCTATCTATGTGTTCACCTACAACCCCTAGGATTGAATGTGTTCACCTACAACCCCTAGGATTGAATACTTGCATATGCGTGCCTTGGGGTTGGTGGAATCTGAGATATGCATGGGGTAGCAAGAGTATATATATATTTCCTGGCACATTATCTAGCCCATTGTAAATATGCAATAATAGTTACTGAATGAATACCCATATTAATTAAATTACATAAAACTTTTATCACACTTTCAAGGAAATTTCACAAAAATCTTTCTAAATTCTTCAAGGAACTTGGACATAGAATTCAGCTTGAGTTAAATGGGATTTTGTAAAATTGAAGAAGTCTGATTGCTTGAATTATCTATTTAACATAGCAAAAATTAGCCTACAAATTTGTAGGAATTATTTTGTAGAATTATAGTGTGCTTAGTGATAGTAAGGCAATCCACATTGGAAGTGTAAGATTCATGGAATGCATAGCATAAATTAAAACCTGATGTTCTTTATATCTCATATAATATCTCACATATGGAAATGTAGGTGTAAAAGACTACACAATACCCTATTAATTTATAAGATACTTACATAATTTAAATGAATATATTATTTGTATACCCCTGCCCATGGCCTTGTAAGCCAATACATTTTGCTGAATGTATATTTTTGGAAATGGAGGCCCATTTCCCCAACGTTTCATTTGTCATTGGACTGTCATATACTCACCCTTTGACTAATTCAACCACAATAAAGTCATTTCCATCCCCACTGTTATATAGAATTAGTCCATCTAGGGATGTTGTCTTGAACTGGAAAAAAAGATGCATAGAAGTGTAGGCTTGCAATGTAGCTAAGGCAACATAGCTTGATTTGGTCTTGAAGGTAACAGGGTCTGCTATGATATTCCGGAAGCCAAACCTGGCATTGAGCTCACAGTAATCTATGTCACCATTTTTACACAAGTCAATGTATGCCATTCCATTGAATGTCAGGCTCTGAAGGTGTCCAATGAAGTTGGAGGGGACAGAAGACAGATACCGCCGTTCAGTGATGATGCCAGTCTCTATGTTATGAAACTCTAGTCTGGTATGATCGCCCGCCATTTGACCTACATGGGAGAATCATGCATTATTATTTTCCATATCTGGAAGGCACTTTCAATTTATAACAACATCATATTTTAAGATACAAGAATCCAAATACCTCTTTGATATTCAATTATATATAGTAAAATCACAGAAGTGATGTTAAAGGGCAAGGCTGAAACACATAATACAACTTTCTTAGATCAGGTTTCTCTCTGTTCAAATTTTAGCCTTAATAAAAATTGTCCTCATTAGACAAAGTTACAGAGTTTTAAAAAGTAGAAGAGCCCATGGCTCAGTGGTTGAGCATCAACCTATGAACCAGGAGGTTACAGTTCAGGGCACATGCCTGGGTTGTGGGCCAGAAGGGGATGTGCAGGAGGTAGCATATCAATGATTCTCATCATTTATATTTCTACCTCTCTCCCCCTCCTTTCCTCTCTCTGAAATCAATAAAAATATATATATTTTTTAAAAGTAGAAGGAAAAAAAATGAAGTGAGTAATGGAGAAAGGGAGAAAGAAAGTTTAAGAGGAAAGGAGAGAGAGAAAAGAAAAGGAAGTAAGGGAGAAAGCTAGGGAGGAAAGGGAAAGAGGAAGAGAGGAAGGAAGGAAAGGAGGAAAGAAGGAAAGAAGGAAGGAGTGAAGGAAGGAGGAAAGAAGGAAGGAAAGAAAGAAGACAGGGGAAGGGGTTAGAGACAATGATTGTCCTAAATCAACCCAGTAGAAAGTGATGTATTCCAGCTTCATAGTGATGTTTTTCTGTAAAAGAAATGTTCTTAAAAAGAAAATAATGTGACTGTATATTTTCCTCTCACCAATTAAAATAATGAAAAGCTACTGACTATGTTTCTAATAATGAACCACGAAAATGTGTTTGAAGTATGTCATTTTCACCTTCCTTTTTCTGTGCTGAATAATTTCCATAATTTATGCCATTTTCCTTGCACTTATGTTTTGGAAAACTAAATTGAGCACAAATTCAAGGTATGTCCAATTTTGAGAATACCAGTAAAAGTAGTCCACATTACCAAAGTTATAATCTCTAAACACTTAAGTATGAAGCTTGGTTGCATATTTATATGGTGATTCATTCTTCAATTCATCCCCCATCCCTCTTCGTCCTGCCAAATTTCTCTATAAACCCCTTTGAGAGCCAACCTAGTATCACTTTACCTCCAGAGTGATAATCGCACCTACCTTTAGGGTTGAAGATAAATTACATAAAAAAAGATGTAAGCTTGGTTTTTTTAAGATACAATATGAAGTACCTTATCTTTGCTAGTGACTCACTCCCAGCATCTTGTTGTTGTTTAATTAAACTGACATTTGCATTCTTCTGAAAATCAAAAAGGTCATTACAATTGCAATCAAGTTCCTCCGGTTACTAACTTCACTATTCAATTGGGCATAATTGGAAAATTTATTAAGCTTACACTATCCCATCATCCATGATATTAATAAATAATTAATTAGAGCCAATCCCAGTATCAAACCCTGAGAAAATTCACTAGACCTGCCCCCAGGTGTAATAAAGATTGAATAACCACCTATGTGGGTCTCCTTCAACCCGCTGGACAGATTTCCATGCCTTTAGTCAGGACAGTAAAATATTAGGTGGCATTTTAAGGAAATGCCTGTAAGTAAAATATAAAAGGCATACTCTTTGTTGTGCAAGAAAAATTGTCTACATACTTAATTGATGCTTATAAACTTATTGGTGTAAAAATCTTGCCCCTAATCTGAACTTGACTCTACTTAATTTTTACACCTGATTACTAGTCCTTGATCCTGGTAACAACTGTCCTGTCACCCTGGGTGTGTTTTCTTATCAGTCATTGGTTTGTTCAAATCCCCTCTCTGCAAACTTCTTTTTAAAGCTGAAAATACCACTGTATATAGTTGTCAGTCCTCCTCCTTCCTCCCCACTATGTCTCCTGCTTGTTTATCTGATGCAAAAACACGATTAAATTCTTAGCAATTCTGTTTTCTTGTATGATATCATTTCTCTCTCCTTCTTCAGTTCTTCTTGTTCAATGACCTCCACACTGCTCTCTGGAAAACTCTCTCTTTGGTGGCAAATCAAATGAGCCTTTAATAATTGTCAAATATAAAGCTCTAGAGATACCAGTAACATTGAATTAACAAGCCATACCGAATGAAAAACATAAAAAGCTTTAAAATCACTTGGGCTTGTATTGATTTTTATTTTTTTCATGATATTAAAATCTGAGTTTTAAATCAGTGAATCCACCCCAATCCTAAAATTGTCATATTTCTTCTTAAAAATTCCATTAACAAGCCAAATGATAGGAAAGAAATATCCAGAAAAAAATATTCCTAATGCTTGAAATTAAATATTATCCCCAAATTGTCAAGTTCTTGGCAGCTCTGAAATAGTGAAACACATTTTGTTTAGGATGACTGAGAAGTTCAGTGATAAAAATAGCACCTAATGTCTGTTTTCTTTTCAAAGGAATAGGATATGTATGCAGAGCATAAATAACAAAAACAGTGGTGGAGCCACCATGGCCCAATTACAAGGAAAATCATTATGGCCCTTGTTCAAGAGCCTATTCTTTGTTTAATAAGCAGATATAAATTGCATTGACAGTCATGGTGGCTACGCCTGCTCCAGAGAGAGAATTAGCGCCTCAAAGCCATTATCCACTGACTAAGAAAACATTAACGGCTGCCTTTGAAAAACTCTATTTTTCCTCAGAATTTATTTCAGTGTTTAATCATCTATACATAATGTAGCCACCTCTACTCTTATCCACATACATTAAGAAAAAAAATTAAGGACATTAAAGGAGAAAAATTTTTAAGGCTCCAACCATTTAAAAATCCAGTCTTTTCCAGAGAGTTAATGGGAAGAGTAATTTAAAATGAGCAGAATGCCTCTGATCAAAGTGTCTGGGTATAGCAGATGGATGACAATTTCCTATAGAAAAAAACACCCAACTGGATGGTGTGTTTACATAAAAATCTCAATATCTAAATAAAATCTTTTGTACCTAAACTGATAGCAAGATCAGCTACTTGAGGTTCAGCCTTGCTCAGAGCTGGGCTAATTTCTGCTGCAGAACAAAACAACCTGCCAGCCTTACACTGAACTTGTTGGTTCACTTATAGTGACTGCGTGTGTGGTATGTGCATGTGTCAGGTGATGAAAAAGAGAGCGGTAGGAGGAGCAGACATGGGTCCCATTTTCACAAAACTCACAGTCTTTCGGGAGAAAGCAGGCAAAATGAGGTGAGGAAATAATTAAATATATAATGACAGCACTCAGAGAAATGTTAGGAATTTGTTGCACAGGCTGCTGTGTTGGTAAATATGAAATGGGGGGAAATACCCGAGTTGATATTTAACTTAAATTTGAAGGATTAAAACGAGAAATCCATGCTACAAGAAATATGTCAGTCAGTGAAAAAGCTAAGAACCACATGAGTGGGATATAAAACAGAAAGCAACAAATCAACAAACAAGCAAAAACTCAGATACAGACAACAGTATGGTGGTTACCAGAGGGATGGCAGGGAGGGTAGCAAGAGGTCAAAGGGGTCAAACATATGGTGACGGAAGATGATCTGATGTGGGGTGGTGGGCACACAGGGCAATATATAGATTATGTATCATAGCAATGTATACTTGGCACCTATATAATCTTAACAATCAATTTCACCCCAATACATATAATAATCTTTTAAAACAGAAAGAAAACCAAAGACAAACCACACACACACACAATTGAACTATGTGTATCAGCTTCGAGTTGTGCACCTGGTTTTCAAAGTCACCTGCAAGAAATGGGAAAGTCTAAAGCTTCAGTAAAGGAGAGGGTGATGGGGACAGTGGGGTTTACCTGTCATGGCCTGTTGGTCATCCACCGTTAACTTTAAACTTTTTCCTCGACGAACCACACGCACTGTGTGCCATTCATTATCATTGAGGTTATAGCCGGCAAAAAGGGTCTCGGGACCTTTGCCTGTAGAATATGCCAAACAGTCATTATGGACACTCAGCATCAGTCAAACAAATGAACCTCACAGAGAGTGAGAGAAAGAGACAAAGAAAGGGGAAAGCAAGGGAGAGGGAGGAGAGAGAAGAGAAAAGGAAATGTGAGAGATAGGAGAGAAAGGAGAGAGAGCAAGAGAGAAGAGACTGGCTGGATCAATTTTCAAGCCCATTAGAGTCATAGCAAGCAAGGAAAATGACAAGTTAGCAGACATTCTGGTGTGACACTTTAAGAAGAATCTTCAACACACTATGCATTGATCTAAGACAAGCGAATGAACCTGTTGTCATAAATGGGCACAGTCAATACAGCCTTGGGAAGCCTCCCACATGTACACACACCTTTACTTTTCTAAGAAGTTCTCTGATTTTTGCAGTTATCACTTTCTTGCTAATGTAGTAGCTAGCAGTCATGTAACCTCTGACCTCGGGGAGAGACCTGGCCAGAGGTCATTAGCTAAGCATTTTCAGGGAGTGGCCACTGGCTGCATTAGAGGAGATTGCTCTGGGTACTATACTGAGTGAGGGCTCTCTTTACTCTGACCGCATGTACTTCCTATGTTCACCAAGTTCTTAAATGTAGTGTGTCTAAAAACTAAAACTAGTGGAGGCACAGAAGATGAGTGTAGGTAAAAGTATTGCCTCTTAGAAAAATGAAGAAAACAGAAGTCACAACCCCCCAAAAATGGCCACATATTGAGTGGGAAGGAATAAAAAGTGATATTAAACAGCAGTAGAGGACAGGGATTCCCAGGTAAAAACTAAAAGAAAGAGGACAAGAAGTGTAACCAAGAAAGTAACTGCCAGTGAATCTATAGAAGTTTAAATTCCATAGATAAATGGAATTTAAATAGGCTTAGAACAGATTATCTCAGAAAGTTGTTTCGTGGAAATTATTGAAATGACTAAGTTAGACAAATATCCCTCTTCCACACACACAAATCAAGGGAAAATAGCTTTTAGTATAACTAGAAAGATTTCATAGCATTTCTACCAATAATAAGCATTTCTACCAAAATAAGCATTTCTACCAATCTGACATTATGATTCACTGAGAAAAATAATGAAAAGTTTTTAAAGATCCACACTATTTGGTGATGGATTTCAGTGTTTTAAAAGTCATGAAATTTTCTAGTACATTTCAATAATGCAATGCATGGCGTCATTGAGTTTAATGACTTTCATCCAATTCATGATCAGGACTTGCTTCACTATTTCTTCAACTAAATTCTATCCACAAAACCAATTAATGTTCAAGGAGCACAGGAGGACATACTAAAATGCCAATGAAAAGGAGAACAGAATAGGAAACAAATAAATATGGGAACCACCAAGAAGAAACCTCAGTAGTCAGTCCGACAAGAGATCATTCATTGTTTGCTTTTAGTACTGCAGACTATCCACCCAGCTCCCTGATTTCTCTCTTAGGATGTCACTGATGATACAAGTTCTGTATTCCTTGGTTGGGTTTCACTGGAGCTTAAAATGAGCCAGTTATCTAAGCTAAATTTTGCATGACAAACTGCCTCATGTCTACACAGGGCCATCATGAAGATTAGAAACCATCTCTTGTTGTTTCTTTAGAAAAGTTAAATTCATCTGGATACATGAATAAAAGCTTGTCTAGATAGAAGAGTGTTAGGGAGATTTATCACGAAATAGCTAAAGGAAGCCTGTTAGCTCAGCAACTGCAAAAATGCTTTGAGACCAAATGTTGAAAGCAAGTTCCAGCATTAAAGGAACTCTTTTTAGTTTTAATGGTGAAAAAAGGAATGTTCAATAACTCTGCAGAATCTTAGCATCCTACTGGCAGCGAGGGTCATTCTTAGTTTTGATCTTTGAAAAGAGAATACATCATTTTAAAGCTATTTTTACAGGGGAGATCTTTTTTTTCCCTTTAGAACTATGTGCTTTTGAAGCAGCTTCACTTCCCTTCTCTTAATTTTAAAGGTGTTTTGTCAAGAAAAAGAAGCATAAGGGTGATATCATCATTATACCCCATTCTGGGCTTGATCTTGCAGTAAAGTCATAATGCTTAATCTATGAAACAACGATTTCCATAACAACAGGCACAAAATCCAATTAAAAATAACCCTTTGGTTCGTAAAAATCTCTGTGGGCCAACTTCAAGCTCCTTTCTTGCATTATTAAAAATGTGAAGAGATTGATTTTGGAAGACAAGGCTTTTAAAAATGCACTTAATATTCTCAGTTCACAACAACACTATCTATGCAACATGAAGTGTAATAAAGAGTGCGCTGGACCGGGAGGGGAGCTAAAAATTGTGGTCGCTCGTCCTTGATTTGCTACTAAGAAAGAAGCCGGGGGCTGGGAAATGCTTGTTATGTTCCAGGCACTTTATCTGTTAATTTACTTCATCTTTACAGTATTATCGTTTTACACATGTGGAACTGAAGGCCCAGAAAACCAAAACTACTTGTCCCAAGGTCATAGAGTTAAAATGTGATAGAGAAGTGTTCCGTCCCGATTAACCTACCCAACGCCTGCATACTTTCCCTTGCATTATCCTGGCTCCCAGCCACGTGACCTTCGGCTAGCAATTTAAAATTTTAGCATCCCCACGTCTGAATGAAGGGGGTAGAAAATCTGCTCCTTGTCATGACTTGCAGATTGATCAGAATGATGGGAAATGTTACATACCCTCTGCATAAGTCATGGCGGAAGAACAACCCTATCCAACACTGTACCTCTACCTAGGAATACTGATGTAGAGGAAGGACCATTAATTTGGGGCATGATCCACTCATAATCAGGATTCTGCTAAAAGATTCAGCTTCTGGTGGTCTCAATCTTTAGCTAATCTTTACAGTACCTTTGAGATCTCATATTCTCAGACATTTACAAACACATGGAATTGGAACTTTTAAAAAAGGTGCGTAACTACTGACATTTTGAGCTTGAGAATCATTTGTCCTCTTGGGTAGATTTGAATGGCAAAATTATAGTCACTCAAGCCATTAGTAATCTGAATTCCTTTTCAGATTTCTTCTTTCTTTGGGGATATCAAAACATGTCTCATTGGTAGTAATATTTTTCTCCCAGCATTAATGTGAGTGTTATGGACCAACTGTTCATATGTTGAAGTGCTAACCCCGAATGTGATGGCATGAGGGAGTGGGCCCTTTGTGAGGTAAATAGGATTAAATGAGCTCATGAGGCTGGAGTCCCCGTGATGGAATTAGTGCCCCTATAAGAAAAGAAAGAGACATTGGAGTTCTTTCTCTCCACCATGTGAGGATACAAAAAGAAGCCAGCTGTCTGCAAGCCAGGATGAGAGCCCTCACCAAAAACCAAACCTGCCAGAAATCTGATCTTGGACTTGTCAGTGTCCAAAACTATGGGCAATAAACATCTGTGGACTAAGCGACCCAGTCCATGGTATTCTGTTATAGCAGCCCAAGCAGAGGAAAATAGTGAGCGATATTTTTAAAAGATTTTTTTTAAAAGTTCATAGCATTGTTTCTATTTTAAAGACAATCACTCTTTGTGTTTTGTAGGGAGTTATAACTTGTATATAATTTTACACTTGATTCTTACTATAATCTATTATTAAAGCCACAGAAATATTATTTTTCAATTTTTAGCTAAAAAATCAGATTTAGAGAGGTTGAGAATATTATAAATCTCAGTTAATACTTACTCATTTATGAATTCCAGGTGGTGCTAAGACTTTGCTGCTAAGAGGGTTGGAGATAACCCCAATTTAATGAGCAGCAGGAAATGGCAGATTCACAGTTAGCTAAGCAAGTTCTTCTTTGAAATCTACTGCTCTTACAGAGTATTGATTTAACCATTAAGAGATACACTTAAAAGATGGTAGCTGTTTTTGGCCAGATTAATAACCACATTTGCTAATTACTTTTCATCTCCATTTCACTATGGGAGGAGATAGTGGTGAAAATTGGATTTTGCCACTGACATCTACTAATTGTGTCACCTTAAGTAAATCATTTACCTTCCTTCTTTCTTATATTTTTATCTGTAAAAAAAGGACATCTGATAAAGGCATATACTCTCCAGTAGCAAACTTTAAATGCTGTCATTCTTGGAAGGACCAGAACTGATCTGTACTATTTGCCCACCTTGTGGCTACATGAAAGACTACAATTCTAATGTGGGTTCTCTAAGTTTATAAAATGTTCAATATTATTATTTTTACTATTCTTAATTTCATTTTTGTTTTGACCTGGGTAGGCAGAGAGCAGAGAGAACTTTAAGGATAGTTATTCTAGACCTATTACTCAACTCAAATGAAACCAGTGGGACAAGATTGAAATATCCTAAAAATGTTTATTAATTTAGATAGTCAAATTTTAAGGGGAAGAATTCTGTTTTTGTCCTCTTGGAATCCCTCATAGATCATAGATAGCATCAAATGATCAATACAAGGATCAGACAGGAGCGGTAAATGCACCATTCTGTGGGCCAGGACATGGCCCTGCTTTACAGGCAAGTTCACTTAGAAAACAAAAATAATCAGAAGGTTGTGTGGTGAAATAAGGAAGTCACTTTTAAGGAACCCTTTCTCTTGGCTGTGGTAAATTATTCTCTCCCCTGTTCAAATAAGCAGGTCAGGCTAGGCAGTATTGGAGACTCTGACCCAGTATCTCTCTAAGTTTCCCTTACTCAGAACAATTACTGCTGTGCAATGTGAAAATCCAGGAGCTAAAGGAGGGCAGTGGTTTTATAATTCTTTTTAAAGCAGAGGAATCCCCCTTCCCTGTAATCATGCATAAGGACTATAAATCCATATAAAGGGGGAGCTGCCCCACAGTTAAAGAAGCAGGCATCACCCAGAAACCCAGACTCCACAGACTCCTCAGGGGGGCTCATTTCTCTCTTTGGATAAAGGATGCTTTTCTTCATCAGAAAACTGCAGCAAAGGCTTTTTAAAATATCGTCTGCAAGTAATCCTTTGCTTTAAAAATTGGATTTGTTTTAAAAATACAT